TTTCATTCTGGACATATGAGAATCTTCAAAGAGAATCCTGCCTAAAGGCTATTTTCTTTCAGTAACTTTTTCATCCTGAATTTGACAGGAGTTGAAGAAGCCACATTTTCAAGGGAAAATTTGTCTGTCCAACATATCCCCTCACTCCACTCATCTGGAGAAGCCACTGCAAATTAATATACTTTATGCCCTTGGCTGATAGCTTAGGCTTCATTCCTCTTGGGAAAAGAGAGGGGTACTCAATGATCCCTACAGCACATGGCTATTTCTTCTCTGTTCTTGGGGAGGAAGAAGGGGTTACAGAAACTATTGACCTCACAGCACTGCATTTAGTGATAATTAGACAGAACATGTATTTTAGGAGGCAAGTGTATAACTGCATTAGTTAATCTCATTTTCAATCATTCGGAGCATAGTAAGTAGAGGAGGTCATACTCCCTTCACATATGTGGGATCTGTGCTTCATCAGCTGCTTCTCTGCAACTCTCAAAGCTGTACTTGACCATTTCTGTGCATTTAGTGCTCTACCTGTCTACAGACAACTGTGCAGTTTACTGCCAGAACTGTGCTTTTGTGGGGTTTCATCTGCCTGGCAGTTAGTCGGTGAATGTTTTTCCTGTACCCTGACTCAAGAAGCCAAGGGGGACAAGGCTCTTCAGAACTTTTAAGTCATGAGCATCATGATGAGTATTTGGCAACCAGAGAGGCTGACCCTTCCCTACAGACATGATGCTAACATGCACAGGGGCAGACTAACCTTTTGTTTCTCTGAGCCCAATCCACCATGCAAAGGAGGACTGCAGATGAATGTCATCATTCTAAATCTACCTAAGCCTAGATAATAAAAAGTTCCACATTTGCATTCACCATGTATTATACAGACATCAAACGACCTTTTGTAATGAACCAGGACACACACCCAACTTATCCCTGCTGTGAATTGTGTATTTACAAAGGTGCTAAAAACACATAGACTTTCAAACAATCATTGGTACAAAGGATTCATAGATAAGTTCTTCACTCATAAACATCCCCAAATCACAGTAAGGAAGAGGAGAAATGATTCATGTCTAGGTATCTAAGAAGGAAAAGAAGGGATTGCAAAACATTGACTTGTCTACTGCATTTAGATGAACAGCCAAAAATAACTTTTAAATTACAATACATCTATACACCATTTCACTGAAATTACACATAGATATCTACATTATAGCTACACAAAGTGCATAGGCACTGTTCTTCATGCATGAACCAAGTGTCAGTTTGTACACATAAGAACTTCATGCTTTGACAGCTAGCTGTACTTGAAAACAGATACAGTCATTGCCAGTTGAGGGCACATCTAATCTGTTTGCTTGATGAGGAGCAGGTTCAAATACATACCAGTATGATTTCTACGTAACCAACTACTTTTTAAAACATGGTAAAAATACAAACCTTATCACCATATCGGAAAGTATGTTTGGCAGAAGGAAGACACCTTGTCTTTGCAGTGGCTGTTGATTTACATTGTGGGAGGTTACATAGTTTGTTATTTGCCTGAGGACAGAATCTACTTGGGCTTCTTCTAAACAATTTCACGGTGACTGTAAATCCCCACCTCTAGCCCCCAGTGATTCAGTATTGCTTTACAGCTGGTGCCAAAAAAAAAAAAAAGTTTTTATTTTTGCAAAAATACATGCTCAGTTCACATAACAATGTGACATTTTCTACCAATCTGCTTGACAAGAGTTAACTGCAACAAATCTTTCCTGATTTCCTTCCTAGCACAGGTCCTCAGTCTCTGCTACTCAAAGTTTTCCTGAGCCAGTTTTCACATAAACATTTAGGAAGATATGGGACATTCTGATATAAAAATGATCCCACTATTATCATCATGTCTTTGATCATCTTAAAGAAAATCAAAATTAGAATTCTTAGCTGGAAAAACAAGGCCTAGTGTCAAAAAAATAATAAGAAAATGATAAGAAATCAGCACCATTCCTCAAGTTAAAAAGACTAATTGTTTAGATGTATATCCTAACCAGCTAAGGGATTTAAGCAATTTCTTGTTCTTAATTAGTCATTTCATTCATTGCATCACTAAGGACTGGGTTTTTAAGTTTTTCCAATGTGACTTTATGCTCAGGAAACAATTGATCGCTCTAAATTACTGTAGAAACTTCTTGTGCTCTAATTAGTCATAATGCTACATATGTGGTTATATAGAAAATGCTATAAGAAAATATCTGTCTGCAAAATTACAGATACTAAATAGATGAATTCAGTCTACACTGAGTTCTTTATGAATTCTGAAGAGTAGATACAAACCTATAACAATATTAAAGGCTAAGTTAATATTAAACATATAATATCCAGGGTTATAGATACATTTTCTCATGTGCTTTATAAATAATAGCAAAGAGGCTTGGGGATTTGCTTTAAAAATACGTAAGACTGGGCTGGAGAAATCTGTGGATTTGGGGTGCAATACTGATCGGAGAACAATATATTGTCCCTGGTAACATAGATTCTTACCAGGAAACCAAAATATATCTGCTGGCAGCAAGATCAAATTAGATTCACAGATTGCCAGCTCTCTCCTCAAACTGTAGAAAAGAAATAGAAAAACAATATACAAAAATCCTCCAAAAAGTAGTCTTTTTATATACAAATCTCTAGAGTGATCAGATAATCTGATCTGTGCTGTGCAACATGGAGATGCAATGCTGAGGTTTTCCAGGGGAAGGAGGAAGGAAGGGAGTGAAAGTGATTTGTAGAAAAGTCTAGATGCCAAAGGATGAGTTCCTCGTAAGGAAAGTAACTCGTGGAATAGTAAGCCCCCAGAGAGCTGGCTTTCTTATCATGCATCTCAGAGTCTTTGCTCCGTGCGGGAGAAACCTCAGAGATGTGCTGGACTGACCTCCTCAGCTAGTATGTGTATTTGTCTCCTACCAAAGGCTGTTTCCAAGCAGGCCAAATGGTTGCCATGAGAAGCAATGGAGTCCCAGAAGGAACAAGGCTCTGACTTCACCATCCCCAGCTCCACAGGGGACAATGACAGGGTAACAGTCGTTTGTTAGGTTCCAACACTCACCCTGGGATTGGGGTGTCTCCAAAGGAACTGGGCTCCTGTTGCTACCCATTCCCTGGGTCAAGTGCTGACTCTGCAGAACAGTGAGTTCTACTCCAGTGGTAAGTTTTATTCTTAGCACTAAAGGGCCGCACATAACCACCAGAAGGACTTTTTAAAATATCAAAATGGATACTTGGTCGAAAATTTGGAAGGTGAAGCAAGGCTGGACATAGAAAAAACTGATCGGTAATTATTCATGATATTATTTAGAGTGGATAAAATAGGAACTTAGGGGTGTTTCTCACTATTCTATAGGTTCTTATATGGAGAATTATGAAATCACATTTATCTTGCTGCTCTTGCATCAGGTGTTCTGCACTAATGGAAAAAACAAAGAAACCAATCCTTCTAGTCCTAGTTTTACATCTCTCTTCTCCAAATATAAAGAGCCAAAGTCTTCTCTGGCAATAAAATTACTAACAACACAATAAATACCAACTCCACTCTGTATTTAGCAGAAGTTTGGACAAAGAGCAAAGATGCAAGCAATGGCCCATTGCAGCAGTACCGGAAAGTGCAAGAGGTTGTTTCAAGGTCATGGCTGGTGGCATGCACCTTGCAGACCGTGCATTGTATCCCACCTACCCTAGAAACTCCTCCAGCATTGAAGAGGGCAAGGACAGTCAGCAAAACTCCATTCTTGTAAGAGCTTCTCTACCTGTGATGTGGTGCCCACGACAAAAGCAAACCAAGAGGAAAATTTGAAAATTAATTCAATCAAGTATCCCTGCATACCCCTCCTGAGACAGGACTTCGCCTGACTTACTTGTAAATGGATGTGTGTGTGTGTCTGCAGATGGGCAGAGGAAGGAAGGTATTAACACACAGTTGCTGTGATTGTGTAAGTCTTGCATCAAATTTCATAAGAGTGTTCAAGTTTATTTGCCAAAGCCTCCCACATTCCCATACTGGGTTGGCAATTAAGGCTGTTTGGAGAAAACTGTGTGTTTTGGGTATTCAGAGTGGGCTCTGTTGCTGCAGCAGGAATGATACAAGACCTTGAGAGAGGCTGCAGACCTGTCTGTCCCCTCATGGTGACACTGGCAGCATTTTCCCTGAGCTGAATCACTACTTCTACTAGGAGAGTGAGTTTAAGTAAAGGGAACTTTTACAAAAGGATGTTTGTTGTCCCAAAACACCAAGCTGCAGATCAACATGGCCACCTTCCAAGCTTGCTGTAAAACATCAGATGAATAGAGGTTTTGGTTTAATTTCCTCCAAAGGGAGTGAGAAAAATATAAGTTGATTATTCATTATTGTGGGCTCTTCTGACTAAAGATATAAATGAGTAATATTTTATAGTGGTAAGCCTCTTAAGAAAGAAGAAACTAAAGCAGAGATCATAATACCATGGATTCTTAGAGCTGGAAGGGGATTTTAATCATGCAATCTAGCCCCTCCACTTTTTATATGGGAGAAAATGAGGGTTGGACATAAAGTGACTTGTGTAAGTCGTACAGCTAAAAATGGGCAGAGTCTGAATCAAATGTTCCCTCTACCAAACTGTGCTGTTTCTCATCATCTCTATGTCATTGTCTGAATTAGCTGTGTTATGCTCTGAAATTAGATACTATTCAGTTAAGATTCCCTGTTACCTATTCTAAAACCAATCCTTGCACTAAATTGTATGATCATTTACTAAGTTGTCTCTTTAGCAGCAACAGTAAGTGGAATGAGAGAAAGGAGGAAGAGTGGGAAAATGGTTTTCCTTTAGGGAAAATCATAAGTAAATGTTTCATGAGCAGCTTTGAACTCACTCCACCCAAGGAGAACAATTTGCCTCTAGTGCCACCTGCATGGGCTGGCACTCAGTGACTTTTCTTCTAGGTTTAGCCANGTTTTTATTTTTGCAAAAATACATGCTCAGTTCACATAACAATGTGACATTTTCTACCAATCTGCTTGACAAGAGTTAACTGCAACAAATCTTTCCTGATTTCCTTCCTAGCACAGGTCCTCAGTCTCTGCTACTCAAAGTTTTCCTGAGCCAGTTTTCACATAAACATTTAGGAAGATATGGGACATTCTGATATAAAAATGATCCCACTATTATCATCATGTCTTTGATCATCTTAAAGAAAATCAAAATTAGAATTCTTAGCTGGAAAAACAAGGCCTAGTGTCAAAAAAATAATAAGAAAATGATAAGAAATCAGCACCATTCCTCAAGTTAAAAAGACTAATTGTTTAGATGTATATCCTAACCAGCTAAGGGATTTAAGCAATTTCTTGTTCTTAATTAGTCATTTCATTCATTGCATCACTAAGGACTGGGTTTTTAAGTTTTTCCAATGTGACTTTATGCTCAGGAAACAATTGATCGCTCTAAATTACTGTAGAAACTTCTTGTGCTCTAATTAGTCATAATGCTACATATGTGGTTATATAGAAAATGCTATAAGAAAATATCTGTCTGCAAAATTACAGATACTAAATAGATGAATTCAGTCTACACTGAGTTCTTTATGAATTCTGAAGAGTAGATACAAACCTATAACAATATTAAAGGCTAAGTTAATATTAAACATATAATATCCAGGGTTATAGATACATTTTCTCATGTGCTTTATAAATAATAGCAAAGAGGCTTGGGGATTTGCTTTAAAAATACGTAAGACTGGGCTGGAGAAATCTGTGGATTTGGGGTGCAATACTGATCGGAGAACAATATATTGTCCCTGGTAACATAGATTCTTACCAGGAAACCAAAATATATCTGCTGGCAGCAAGATCAAATTAGATTCACAGATTGCCAGCTCTCTCCTCAAACTGTAGAAAAGAAATAGAAAAACAATATACAAAAATCCTCCAAAAAGTAGTCTTTTTATATACAAATCTCTAGAGTGATCAGATAATCTGATCTGTGCTGTGCAACATGGAGATGCAATGCTGAGGTTTTCCAGGGGAAGGAGGAAGGAAGGGAGTGAAAGTGATTTGTAGAAAAGTCTAGATGCCAAAGGATGAGTTCCTCGTAAGGAAAGTAACTCGTGGAATAGTAAGCCCCCAGAGAGCTGGCTTTCTTATCATGCATCTCAGAGTCTTTGCTCCGTGCGGGAGAAACCTCAGAGATGTGCTGGACTGACCTCCTCAGCTAGTATGTGTATTTGTCTCCTACCAAAGGCTGTTTCCAAGCAGGCCAAATGGTTGCCATGAGAAGCAATGGAGTCCCAGAAGGAACAAGGCTCTGACTTCACCATCCCCAGCTCCACAGGGGACAATGACAGGGTAACAGTCGTTTGTTAGGTTCCAACACTCACCCTGGGATTGGGGTGTCTCCAAAGGAACTGGGCTCCTGTTGCTACCCATTCCCTGGGTCAAGTGCTGACTCTGCAGAACAGTGAGTTCTACTCCAGTGGTAAGTTTTATTCTTAGCACTAAAGGGCCGCACATAACCACCAGAAGGACTTTTTAAAATATCAAAATGGATACTTGGTCGAAAATTTGGAAGGTGAAGCAAGGCTGGACATAGAAAAAACTGATCGGTAATTATTCATGATATTATTTAGAGTGGATAAAATAGGAACTTAGGGGTGTTTCTCACTATTCTATAGGTTCTTATATGGAGAATTATGAAATCACATTTATCTTGCTGCTCTTGCATCAGGTGTTCTGCACTAATGGAAAAAACAAAGAAACCAATCCTTCTAGTCCTAGTTTTACATCTCTCTTCTCCAAATATAAAGAGCCAAAGTCTTCTCTGGCAATAAAATTACTAACAACACAATAAATACCAACTCCACTCTGTATTTAGCAGAAGTTTGGACAAAGAGCAAAGATGCAAGCAATGGCCCATTGCAGCAGTACCGGAAAGTGCAAGAGGTTGTTTCAAGGTCATGGCTGGTGGCATGCACCTTGCAGACCGTGCATTGTATCCCACCTACCCTAGAAACTCCTCCAGCATTGAAGAGGGCAAGGACAGTCAGCAAAACTCCATTCTTGTAAGAGCTTCTCTACCTGTGATGTGGTGCCCACGACAAAAGCAAACCAAGAGGAAAATTTGAAAATTAATTCAATCAAGTATCCCTGCATACCCCTCCTGAGACAGGACTTCGCCTGACTTACTTGTAAATGGATGTGTGTGTGTGTCTGCAGATGGGCAGAGGAAGGAAGGTATTAACACACAGTTGCTGTGATTGTGTAAGTCTTGCATCAAATTTCATAAGAGTGTTCAAGTTTATTTGCCAAAGCCTCCCACATTCCCATACTGGGTTGGCAATTAAGGCTGTTTGGAGAAAACTGTGTGTTTTGGGTATTCAGAGTGGGCTCTGTTGCTGCGGCAGGAATGATACAAGACCTTGAGAGAGGCTGCAGACCTCCAATTAAGGCTGTTTGGAGAAAACTGTGTGTTTTGGGTATTCAGAGTGGGCTCTGTTGCTGCAGCAGGAATGATACAAGACCTTGAGAGAGGCTGCAGACCTGTCTGTCCCCTCATGGTGACACTGGCAGCATTTTCCCTGAGCTGAATCACTACTTCTACTAGGAGAGTGAGTTTAAGTAAAGGGAACTTTTACAAAAGGATGTTTGTTGTCCCAAAACACCAAGCTGCAGATCAGCATGGCCACCTTCCAAGCTTGCTGTAAAACATCAGATGAATAGAGGTTTTGGTTTAATTTCCTCCAAAGGGAGTGAGAAAAATATAAGTTGATTATTCATTATTGTGGGCTCTTCTGACTAAAGATATAAATGAGTAATATTTTATAGTGGTAAGCCTCTTAAGAAAGAAGAAACTAAAGCAGAGATCATAATACCATGGATTCTTAGAGCTGGAAGGGGATTTTAATCATGCAATCTAGCCCCTCCACTTTTTATATGGGAGAAAATGAGGGTTGGACATAAAGTGACTTGTGTAAGTCGTACAGCTAAAAATGGGCAGAGTCTGAATCAAATGTTCCCTCTACCAAACTGTGCTGTTTCTCATCATCTCTATGTCATTGTCTGAATTAGCTGTGTTATGCTCTGAAATTAGATACTATTCAGTTAAGATTCCCTGTTACCTATTCTAAAACCAATCCTTGCACTAAATTGTATGATCATTTACTAAGTTGTCTCTTTAGCAGCAACAGTAAGTGGAATGAGAGAAAGGAGGAAGAGTGGGAAAATGGTTTTCCTTTAGGGAAAATCATAAGTAAATGTTTCATGAGCAGCTTTGAACTCACTCCACCCAAGGAGAACACTATGTCATTGTCTGAATTAGCTGTGTTATGCTCTGAAATTAGATACTATTCAGTTAAGATTACCTGTTACCTATTCTAAAACCAATCCTTGCACTAAATTGTATGATCATTTACTAAGCTGTCTCTTTAGCAGCAACAGTAAGTGGAATGAGAGAAAGGAGGAAGAGTGGGGAAATTGGTTTTCCTTTAGGGAAAATCATAAGTAAATGCTTCATGAGCAGCTTTGAACTCACTCCACCCAAGGAGATTGATTTGCCTCTAGTGCCACCTGCATGGGCTGGCACTCAGTGACTTTTCTTCTAGGTTTAGCCAGAAATTACTGCAGATACTGAGACCATGAATCTTCTCTGACAACTAGAGAATTCTTTCAGGCTCTTTGCTTCATTCTTAATCTTCTTATGTCCCCAGAATCCAGTATCCTTACTCAAAGAGCAAGTATTACAATAACTGAAAATCACATTTGGTCCTTTTTCTTGGCTTGGAATGAATTCAGATAGAGAACAGGCAAAGCAGAACCAGCAATCCAGACAATTGGATGGCCCCAAGAGTTAAGGAGCAGCTGTGTGGGAAGAACCACCTCCACTATGGTGTAATTGCTATGCACTTTTGGTCATCAAACCATATGAGAGCTGCTGAGACTTGTCTTTCTAGAGCCAGAACTACGAGAATTTTCTCTGAGCATGTACATACTTAGATTTACTGCTGTATTTCATGGGAAAACATTGCATAGGCAGAAGCCTTGATTCCGACAAAAGTGAAAAATTAAAACATAACTTTTGCTATTGAGAGCAAAGGGAAGTGTGGTATTTGCAAAAACATGGCAGGATTGGGTTTCCTTTTGGGGACCCAGTAGATGAGTTACCCAGCCACTCACTCTGAATGGGCTTCTTGACTAGATATACTTGCAAATGACGTCTTTCTCCATACACAGTGGAAATGATCTGAGACTTAATCAACTGGTCATTGGGATTCCTGGCATCACCTACCAGGAATCTTCCCATGAACAGAATTTCCCCTAAGCCTTAGTCAGTTTCCATGAGTCTAAATTCAGGAGCTAGACATTTTGGCACCCTTTCTTTAAGCTTTCATGACTACCCAGGCAGTCTAGTGGCTACAGAAGAGAAATAAACATTTGTCTTTTACAGGTTATGGTAACTTCTGCAGGCAATGAGACCATACACTGCTTCTACACCCAGTAAGAAGTAAATATTGAATCTGAGAGTTGTTTGGTTCAAATTTCATTACCCAAGTCCTTTATTGAGGATCTGTGTGATCTGAATGGTTGCCTTGATTCTCTGATGCTTTTTGTGTGGGACACACATCCTCAAAGATCTAAGGTAAAGCATTATCTCGAGAGATAAGCCATTCTTCTCACTGACTGGATTTGATTTGCTAAATTTTAGTACACAGTTAAATGATGATGCCAGTTGGGTTTCCCAAAAGGCAAGACTGAGAAAGGGAAGGATTAAAGTCTACTTAGTTGGTTTTCTCCTAAAATGATTCTAAGTCCTGAAAAGAATGGATGAACCTATAACAAAATGGTGTTGCCAAAGCCCTGACTTACAGAACTTACAGAACACAATGTATGTATCCAGCCTGCTGTGTCTGTATATAAATATAACATTTATGCATCATCAGATATTAATGGACTATTACAAGCATTCACGTCTCTGTTGGGTCTATTAGGATAAATCTATACACATAACTGACAGGCTATACTTATCCTATTTAGATAGAGGTTGTTAAAGGTATACTCTGGATCCATCTGTTCTGTTTATGGCACATATGCTGAGCAAAGGAAATTCCCAGTGGGCATGGCATGGGAGGAATGAACAAGGCTTGAAAAAGCCAGAGCACATAGTCATATGTCAGCTCTACATACATCCTGGATTTTCGGGCTAGTCCTGAACTTGAGAAATTGTCATTTTAATATGATTTATTAAATTTCCAGATAAATGCGACTTCCTAAGTATATTCTCATGAGACTTATTGCATAGTCTCAAACCAGAAAAACCTGCTTTGTTAAGCTGTGCACCTTGGTTCTTCTGAACACATCTTTCCCTTATATATTTATAGGCTAACAGGATAGCTAGGAAAAAGCTAAAGACAAAACAAACCAGAAAGACAAAAAGCTGAAGACAAAACAAACCAAGGAAGAGTCTTGAGAAGAGTTCCTGTGATCACTCTTCTGAGAAACATGTCACATGAGCAGGCTGAGAAGTCAGCCTTCCACAGCAGAAAACAACAAGCTTGTAGATGCCTTGCCTACATCCTTCTACTCACCTTAAAAAAGCTCTTGGGAGCCTCCCTTGAAGACAATCCTAAACAGCTTCACAGCTAAGCCCAGGAACTGTCTTCTTGGCCCACAATGTCTACTGTAAAAAATGCATTTTCCACTACTGTATTTGAGCATGACCTTGACCACCATGCTAACTGTTTATCTAATGAAAGTAAAAACCAATGTTTTTTTTTAAGTGCAAAACATTGTTTAATACTGCATAAAGGTGATTCTTATCCCAAAATAACTAGTGTTTAAGAGACAAAAACAACTGGAATCCCATGTCTCTTTTATGTTCCAAAGGTGTCTGATTTGGAAGAGAGAAGTCACAAGGAGTAAGTAATAAAGGGTATGTAATGTTCATAAATACCCTCTTCTCGGAGAATTCAGATTCTATAACTATTAATGAATATCTCAGCACCCTTTGCTGGACTCATATGACAAACCCTACTCCTGCCTGTGGACCAAGGTTTATATACTCCTTAGAGTCGAATGTGCTATGTCTCAATGATTCAAGTCCCCAGCTAACTCCTAAACCCAGCAACCTTACAAAAATACTGTCAGCTATTCCATAGAAAATGGTTGTACAGACATTTAAAAATTTAGCTTGCATAACCCATCATTAAGGATTCGTTGGCTGCCTACTTCATACAACGCACTGTGCTATGCCAATTATATCATTTATTCCTTCAACTTTTCACAGCCTTGAAGAAGAGTCCATCTGTGAAATTGTGTGGAGCCATCCCTCCCACTTCATGGTTCAAGGCTGCCTGGACTCTGCCACAGGAATATCATCTTTATAGAATTTTGCACAGATGTTTGTTTTCTGTTCCTTTCTGCAGAGAAGATTGGGGAGAAAGACTGGCTCTGCTTCCAACCATATTCTATAACTGGTTTTATGTGCTTTGATATAATATAACAAAAAGCTTTCTACATATTAGATAAATATTTTTGTTTGTTTGTTTGTTTTGTTTTAACAAGGGATGTTATTAAAAGAGGCACAGCCAACATAAATGTCCAGCATGTGTGAGGAGGGTAAAATGATCAGGCTTCTAGGTTGATTGAGAATATGACTGAAGTAATTTGGGGATTAAAAATGTCTTTGTTAGAAATCCAAACAAGCATGTTATGGGCGAAGCAAAGAAAGCAAAACGTAGACCAAATAATCTCACTTGATTTCACTCTCAAGGTGAATGCAAAACAAACAAATTTGAATATTTATATCTGGTTAAAATTTATGTTGACTGTTCTCCCTTACTTTTGTCAATATATACAGTAGTTATATGTAAAATACTTCCTAATCCATTATCAAATTTAGAGGCAATTATGGGACATACTTTGATGTTTCAATCATTATTCACAGAGACTACACAGGGGAGGGCAGAGACACAATGGGTTCAATAATCAGCTGCTTTTAAGAGTATGGCTCCCACTAATCTCCTCTTTGAAACATTTAACTTAAAGAGTACACAGAAGATAAATTGTCAGAGTTCTCTAAGACAGGTACTTGCTTTTAATCGATGCATGTGCAAACTCTGTAAGACCTTTAAGGGGAATTACTTCTAGAGGTTTCTAACAGAATCTCTTGTTCATCACACAGCAAGACATGAAGAACACTTGAAGGAATAACACACGGTGTGTCTGCTCATTATCCCAAGTCCCTGGAGAATACCATGCTTTAGTCATGTCCCCTGGGAAAAGAGCATCCACATTTCTGCGTCTTGAGAGAAAAGGGAAGCTGGCAAGAAGGTGTCTTCAATTCAAACCGATTCGTCCAGCAGCATCCATTCAAACAATGCAAGTGAGAAAATTAGATGGTTATGAAGCGTTATTTGGCAAAGACACAGCACTGTGCCTGTCATCACTGACTCACGACAGCTCCTCTAAGCCTCAGCTAACAGATTAAGTAAACATAGAAATATACGCATTTTTTTCCTTTTTAAAGAAAGCTTGTTTATATCATCTTTTACCATAAGATATGCTGGGGACTTTATTCAAGAATTTGCTGAGAGTCATGTCCTTATTTTTCATGTTTCCAAGGCTCTTCCTCAACACTGCAGTCGGCGGACTTTCCGTTGGCTGCCAGAGTTACCTGAAAATAATTATCATCAACATCCAGCTTACAGGCCACAAACCAGAAAAAAACAAACCCCGTGGGTTATGTGGAGAAGCACCAGATCCAGGGTTACATCACACAACTGAAATATTAATTTCCCTGAAAATAATTATCATCAACATCCAGCTTACAGGCCACAAACCAGAAAAAAACAAACCCCATGGGTTATGTGGAGAAGCACCAGATCCAGGGTTACATCACACAACTGAAATATTAATTTCAAGCGCAGTTCCTTCCAAATTGACTTTGAACCTGTCCTGGTTTTCAACAGTTATTTGTGAATTCAAAAATCCATATTTGCCTTGAGGGTACTGAGGGACTACAGATGCTTTGTAATTTGGGGGGATAACTTCTACTATGCTTTTAGGGTAGTGGGTGCCTAACTACCCACAGATCCATCACACAATAACATAATCCTTAAAATATAGTGCCATGTGCTACTCCATACAACCACAGAGAAAAAATAACCAGAACTAGGCAGCTAGTTTTACACATGCATGTGAAAAGTTCAGTTGCAATGAGACCAGGTGGATTTCATGCATGTTCAAATTTAAAATCAGAAATTATGATGGTTTGGCTCTACCAAATAAACTATGCTAGCTTTAAAAATTAAAAAGAAAAGACAGAGGGATTAAAAGCCTGAGATAAGTGACAAGGTATAAAGGTATATCAATATTATTTCAATGCAGATATTTAATAGTCAAATATAATTACCAGACCATTTATGTTATGTTTCCCTGGCTCAAAGTGAACTGAACCTTTATGCAGAATGGGAGGTTCTTCCCTCCACTTCTAAGTCATTTTCCTAGCTTACCTTCTGTTTGTCTGTCCTCAACGCCATGTGCAAACTTAAACCCACGACTGATATTCCACATAATGGAGAGACTGGATTTATGGAAGCATTAGGGTATGGAGACATGACAAATGCAGCAATGTTTGAAAGAAATCTGAACTTCTTCTTACCCAAGTGGAAGTGAAATGCATGCATAATGAGCACACAATATGCTACAAACAGAGAACCGCATGCTCTTCACGAACCAAGCAAATGTATATTAAAACTGTTCATTTCTCCAATGCCTGTTAGCACCCCATTTTTTAGAAAGACCATGCAATTAGCAATGACTGCTCCACATGCAGTTAATTAAAATCAAAAAATTATTAGTTAATTAAAATTAAAAAGCTATTGCAGTACTATTACCAGGCAAGAGTTTGAAAACAGAGAGACCAACATGACTGAACAATGCTTAAAGTTAAAGTTTTGACCAGAGCTGTAGCAAATTTGTTTCCCCTTCAGTGAACTGTCAAGAAAGACTGCCAAGGACAGACTGTCTTCCTGGAGAAAGCTTCCTGTTCACTGTGACCTTGATGCACCTGTTTGGCTCTCAGTGATCAATGAGATCAATAGCCACACAAAATTATCAATCACAATGTGGTATCTTTGGAAGATTCAGACAGCACTTGGGACAGGTGTTTTTTTGCTTTTTGTTCGCAAATACAAGGGTCTATGTTTCAAAAGTAGCTGGGACAGAAGTGTTTTGGCATTTCCTTTCCTAGCTGGACTAAAGAAAGCTGGGGCGCCAGTCCCAACCCATTTCACCCCTCTCTGCTCCAACCACCTGGATAATGGAAAGGCCAGAAGGGGGGGCATTGGCAGTAAATATTAACACCTCCCTTCTGAGTTTTAAAAGAATGAGAAATGAAGACTGAGAACTGGCCAGAAGGAAGTTCAAATGCGACTAGATATTCTGAGAAGGGGTGTAAATTCATCTCCACAGTTCTGGTTGCCTCCTTTCTACATTAGTGTCAACACAGTTAACTGAGCTAACATGAGAAAAGTCAACTTTCCTCACTTAGCAAACAGTGAGGCCCAACTAGCCTTCCCTGAGCTAAACTCAATTATGTCATTAAAAATGCAAATAGCTAAAATAGCTATTAAATCAATAGGGCCATTTTCATCATCTTCATGACCTGCTTAGTTTGATCACTGAAGATCTAAATGCTAATTAAGCAACCAATGTGTCTACAGGTGGTTGGTTGAGTAGTCTGTTATACAGAGAGACCGAGGAACTATCTCTACGGAACTGTCCAGCAAAAAGGTCTGAAATGTAGTATGAAATCAAGATGTTAAAGGATACATTCAACAAATATTTATTAAGAACCTACTATATGACAGACATGTACCTGATGTAGAGGGGACAAGAAAAAAACTGTGGCTGTTCCACTAGAATTCTGGACCGATGTTGCAGTCTAGTAAAGAGAATTGTTTCTGTGTCACCCCTAGTTGCCTGGCAGAAGCCATGGTGTGTATTTAGAATGAGCTAAAAGTAACATGGGAATAAATTAATGATTAAATGTAACCTTATAAACAGGAGTCAAAAGGGTACCAGAGATCTGTGTTGGGTTCAGATTGTCCTCAGCTACCATGTGGAATCATTTTAGCAAACCATCCCCAGAGTTGACTGCTCACCTGCCAGGGTTTCTCCAAGTTTGCCTCACTCTGGTCATGACACTCTTTGACAATGCCAAGTTAATTACAATGAAGGATAGACAGAGCCCATTGAGATTGAAGACTTAGCACCCAACAGTTTGGAAGAAAGCCCAGAACATCCACGCTGCAGGAAAGATGGCACCGCCAAGCAGTGTTTGAGATGGAGTGTTTTTAAAAAGACATCTCTGGATAACTGTTCTGAAGGACAGTTATTCTTTACTTGAAATTGCTTCCCTATTGTTGGAAAGATGGCACCGCCAAGCAGTGTTTGAGATGGAGTGTTTTTAAAAAGACATCTCTGGATAAATGTTCTGAAGGACAGTTATTCTTTACTTGAAATTGCTTCCCTATTGTTGGATCACAGTGATTTCCAGATCAAAACTCACCCTTTCCACAAAAATAATGAAGAGAAAGATAGCTGTGCAAAGTTACGTGGGCACAGTTTTGCCCAGCACATGATATGCAGCCAGGAGGAATACTCATGCTATATAAATCAAATGAGGTTGGGTATTTCTCTTGGTATTTCATTTGAGGAATAGAATAACTAGCAACCACAAATTCTTGGGCAACATATTCAAGAAAACTGATCAAATTAGTGGAGTGGGATGGAAGGAGACATCAGAACGGTTGTTTCATATCACGTAGACTAAACAAACAACTGATAGGCTCTTTCCCTGTCAGACCTGTTAGTTTGCCACCATGTTAGACACAGAGTTAAATGATCTGGGACTCACAGAAGCTTAGGTTACATGATTCTTTAGAAAAATAGATGTGACGATAATACATGCAGGGCTCTGTGTTTGTTTTTTAAGAAATCGAGCATGCACTACTATATACAGGTCTCGATATCCATGAATGGGAAAGGTACCTTGCACTCATCTACTATGACAGAGTTGTGTGCAGCATAGACACATTGATTAGAGTTGCTTTCCCTATGGTTCTTCATGTCATCATAAATGGATTGAGTCTTGGTCATTTCAATATCTTCATGCACTCGGTGCTGGGAGTCGATGGTATCCAGCTCAGACTTGGAGAGGTGATAGACAATCCCAGCCCCAAAAGAATCACCCACGACATTGACTGAAGTTCTCATCCTGTCCCTGGGGACACAGAACAGAGAAAGTGTAGTGAGGAAGCAGTATGAGGTGGTGGCTGAGAGGTCAAGGTCTAGCACCAGAGATAAGAGTCCTGAGGTTGAGTTCTGGCTCTATTTTTTCCCTCTGTTGATCTGGGGAAAGTTACTTATCCTTGATGAGACTTGATTCCTTTGTTTGTCAACTGGTGATAACAATCATACTTCTCTCACAGGCTTCTGTGAAAATTAAATGAGATAATGTACATATAGCACTTAGCAAAATGTCTGATGAGTGGTAAGCACGCAATGAACAATAGCAAAGGACAAGTAGTTGAAGAAGAAAAGAAAGAATTAGGGAGAAATAATGTGTTCAAATCTCAGGATCAGTACCCAGGCTCCAGACACACTTAGCATGTCTGATGAGTGGTAAGCACGCAATGAACAATAGCAAAGGACAAGTAGTTGAAGAAGAAATGAAAGAATTAGGGAGAAATAATGTGTTCAAATCTCAGGATCAGTACCCAGGCTCCAGACACACTTAGCTGTGTCCAGTAATTTCCCCTGATTTAAATTGGTCTTTGAAGACTTCAAATTACTTCTACTTATTTATTACCTCTACTGGAAAGACTAACCACCTGTGAACTCTCCCATAATAGAAAATTCACCTTTTTGCAAGGATGTAAATGAACTCTGCCTTTCCCCTGCACTCCAGTGCCCCTCTGCCTCTCTTCTCTCTCCTCCACCCCAAGGCAGCTGTTGGGTAAAAAACCAGCCATAATTTTTTCATTGACCAATATGTGTTGTGACTATGTGTCCTGGAAAAAAACAAAATACTTTATCTTGCTCTGTCTATTAACTTAAAACAAAACTGAATCTTCCACAGTGTTTCTGGAACCAGGAAGTATTAAGAAAATCCTTCCTGAAATCTTGTGTTGCAAGTTCTGACTACAAAAAAACATGATGGTTTGATAACCGTCCTTCTCTCTTAGAAGATCAGTGCCAGGAAAGTTAATTAAGTTAAGAGCAAGTTGTGTCCTCTCATCCATAAGTTCAAGCCAAATCGGTGTGAAGAATCCTTTTGGTCACGTTTACTGGATATTCAAAGCCCTAAATAGAAGGATGCTGTAAAACAGCCACAAAAAAAGTAAACAAATAATAGAAAGAGTTTAGGTAAAGATGCTGCTGAGATATTCTTAGTCCAGGATACTCTCACATTCAATTCCAATAATATAAGAGCACTATGATTAGTTCCAGGAAACCTCCATTTATTCTTGGAACAAAGGCCTAAAATAAATTCTAGCTGCTGTGATCAAATCTATTTCTCATTGAGAATAATAATAATGAAGCTGCACTAGGAGAGGTCTGGCCTGGATCCCTTGCAAGGCCAGCTGTCTGCAAGCTGTAAGCCTTGTCCTTCCAACTTCAACCAGAGAGATGCTGCCTATGGGGGGAAAACAATCAGAGCTGGACTTTAACTCTCAGGGCATCTCTCCATCTGAGAATGCTCTTGCCCCTCTTCCACTCTGGAGAATCTGCCTCAGGGTGGTAGAGTCTGTACATGAATGAAGACTGGGTCTTAGGCCATGGGCACAATCATGCACTTGAAGTACAAGGGCATGAGAAGGCATATGTGCATGATAGGAGCTTAGAAAAAGCATGGACTCTAGAGGCACCCTGAATTGGATTCAAATGACAAATTTTCCCTTATCTATTGGACAACTCTGATCATACGTAACACATGTGAGCCTTAGTTGCCTCATCTACAAAATGGAAATAATAAAAATATCCAATACATAAGAGTAGTTGCAAAGATCAAATAACACTACAAAGTGCTTAGCACAGCTCCAGACATTTATTAAGAACTCAAAAAAAGGTTATTTAACATATAATGTGTACTTTTAATATCACTATAAGTTTTACCAAATCAATTCAAATATATTTTTGACAGCTCCTATGTGGAATTTCCACACATGCCAGGGTAAGCTGCTATCTCCTCCTGAAAACTCTTATGCTATTTATCAGGCAATTTCTATGGCAACACTCTGAACTAACTAGGTGGCCAGACATTTATTAAGAACTCAAAAAAAGGTTATTTAACATATAATGTGTACTTTTAATATCACTATAAGTTTTACCAAATCAATTCAAATATATTTTTGACAGCTCCTATGTGGAATTTCCACACATGCCTGGGTAAGCTGCTATCTCCTCCTGAAAACTCTTATGCTATTTATCAGGCAATTTCTATGGCAACACTCTGAACTAACTAGGTGAGTTATTTGTTGGTCTTACCGTTGTGGTCTACTTTGGAGCTATTCAACTATACTATTCATCC